ACTACTATTTTTCAATTGGACGCTGTCTTTGTGCTAGTAGTAGTAGTAGTAGTAGTAGTAGTAGTAGTAGTGGTAGTAGTATTGCATTGCACACGTCTCACCGATCCGCTCCGATGATAGACAAAGGCAGGCATAGCCCGGCAGCTCAGTGGCTGCATCCTGCATTTGAGGATCCTTGTGGACTGGAACTACGCTTCTCCACGAAGAGCATCACATATAAGCACACACTGCATGTTCGACCATTCGACCAAAACTGAAAGATGCCAGCGAGCTGTCCAGAAAAGAACTTAATCCATTCTGAAGAGATCCAGGTCCACTGCTGAGGTGGCGGCGCCATTCTCCTCTGCAGAAGTAGCATGTGACGCAGCTGCGACCGGCCCTTCATGGTCGCTAGCTGGCCACATTGGCTCATCCTCTGAATCGCTGATAAAAACCACATGACTGCCCTGTGCGCCCTGAGCAGGTATTGCGGGAAACCCAGAGCTTGTAGCAGGCTCCGTGGTCCCCGCACCATGTGCAGCGAGCATTGAGATAGAGCTGCCATGCGAGTCTCTTGCTGGGCCCTGCATAGCAAGAGTCCCGCCTCCTGGGGTGCTGGAACTGGCCTCCGGTGCGCCGCGAACTGGACCGGGGTGCGGCATAGCTGTGACCCAGGCATGAGGCGAAGGGATCGTTGCTGCTGCTTCTGTCGTCGCCGTCGTAGCCATTGTAGCCGCAGTAGCCTGTAAGGAGGTAGCAATAACCATTTGCCGACCTGCACACGTGTCCGAATGATCACGCCCAAGGCTTTTCCGGCACCTGGAACAGCATGATGTATGTCCCACCTGCACCCTTAGCAAGCATCCCGGGGTCCTGCACATGCTGACAACTCCTCGCAACCTATGGCGATGCGACCTATCGCAATGCCGCGTATGGCTGCCATGCCTGCACGCCAAGCAGCAATGCCCATGAGGTGGCTCCACACCCAGCGGCAGCAAAGGAAGCATTCTGTCGCATCCGGCACGCCTGCATGGTTGCGCAGAAAGACCGCCATGGTTCATGACCTGACAGGCAGAGAAAAGAAACAAGAACGCTCGGATCAACACCCGGTGGCAACCAGCGTCCTCCTGGCCTCTTTGGATATTTTATTCAAAAATCTGGCAGCCCCCGGCGTACTGCAGCGGTTCAGGAGCACCAAGGGCCTAGACGGGGACTTCGGCTCAGCGGAAGTAGTTCCGTTCCTCCTCTGGACAGGCCTCCGGATCAATCAGGCTCACCTGTGCTATCAGGCCTTCATGGGAGTGCCCTCAGCCTGGGATTCCAGACGAAATAATGCCAGACCGGATCCATCTCTGTGGATCCCTGGCTGATCCATCCGGTGGCCTCGGCTCGTGTGATCTTTTCCGGCTCCTCGCGAAAGGCTTCCAGCCTCGTCTGAAGCTCCCGGACCAGAGCCATCATCAACATCACCTTCAGCCCCGTCTTCACGGTGCCCGCGGAGTTTTTCTCTGTCCAATCCGTCTCTCGGCAGAAACGACATTGGGTGGTGCATCGGGGTATCCAGAAACAGCATGAACCCTGTCTCGGCACGGACCATGCTGAGCTCCTGCTCGTGCCTCAACGAGAGACGCACCATTGCTTGCAGCAGGTACTGCGTCTGCCGATCCAAGGCCCCTTCCGCCTGGTTCTGGTCTCCCCCGACCGGCCTGCTGCCCCCAGGACTTTTTGGGGTCCCACCCGGAGCCCGAACTCCAGGAGCCTCCTTTGCCGCCCTTCTCCTCCCCTCGAGAGTACTTCGGCTTCCTCTCCTGCTCCGCCCAGGGATCCGGGTTCGGCTCCTTGTCTTTGTCCTTCTCCTTCTCCTTTTCCGCGGCTCCCATTCCGAAGACCTCCGCATACTCCGCCTGTGCTAGTGCCGCCTGATTCTCAATCGTCACATCCATGCTGTGCTTCCTGTGATGGTGCACGCAGGAGAAGATTAACAAATGAGGCCTGAAACAAGACTGGACAGCGCCTAAGATGAACACGCAGGGCCTGACAAAACCGGCAAGGGGATTCCGCCGGCAAGCCAAGGCCGTGGCACCTACTCTCTGCTTCCGCTTGATAGCGAGTGTACACATCAGCATGCGCAAGGCGGAGATGCTGTTTGAGGCCTGGCCCCACCATGTGCACGTATTGTCCACAGATTGCACAGTACGTACGCAGACTGCGGCTGTATTGTCCACCACGCACGAGGCCTCTCCGGTCTCTTTTGAGAGCCGTGCAAAAGGCAGGCTGATCGATTAAAGCACATGCAGGTGGCTTCGCGCCCACTTCGTCTGCAGCCAGCGGGGTCTCTGAGATTATGGAAGAAACTGTGTTAGGAGGCACTCGCAAGGCTAGCTCCATCTCGGTCCCCCCAGGAGCTGCCCGGCCTGCGTGGGACAGCTCCCAAGGTGTGGGTACCTGTGCCACACCTACGGAGGGGGCCTCAGCTTGACTGCCACTTGTGGAAATGGCAGCAGGGCATCCGTGCAAAACGGGGCACGCCTGCTTTAAGTGCTTCTTAAGACCCTCGACCCTGGTAAAAACCTTGCTACAGTGTTTGCATTGCGGCATACCATCAACCGTGTGCTCAGTGTACTCCCTGGCCCTCTTACGCACAGCAGCAGGCACCTGCTCCGGGTGCTTTCTGGACCGATGCGAAAGCATGATTCTGCGATTAGGAAAATACTGCCCGCAGACATCACACGCAACCTCTAAATGCGTCCCACATGGCAGCAGAACAGGCAGCCCGGTGCTAGCACCGCTGCCGCACTCCGACAGAAACGCAAGCTGCTGCCTGAAAAAGTCAGTACTCCTTTGATCCGTGCAGTGCGCTACACGACCCTTAAGCAGCTTGACTGCAGCTGTCAGCGGCGAGGTGATGCGAAGTCTTCTCCGCAGGGCTGACGTGCTTTCATGCGTGAGGTGACTGGGAGACCTGGCCACCGCCCTGAGAAACCTTGCATCGGCCTGCTCCAAGCGCTGTAGAACTTCAGTCGTATACCCTACAGCATGCAATCCATACGTGAGGGAGCTGCGCACGCATGCCTCATACAGTCGAACCCGGTACTTCAAGGCAAGTCCAGCAGCATGCAAGGTTTTGACGAGTCTCTGTCGGTTTCCTCTAGCAATCTGCAGTCTATGCCTAAAAGTTTGAAGCTCAAAGTTCTGATAAGAGGCTATGATACCTAAGTACAGCATCCGGTCCTCACGCGGGATAAGCAACGGCTGATGCGGCGTGCCAACACTCACCCAACGTCCCTGTGCATTGCGCTGCTGCCTCTTCCGAAGCCATTGCTTAGCTGCATTTCCCCTCAAGGAGACGACCAGAGCAGATTTGCTAGAGTTGACCTGCATTCCTGCCTCCCTGAAGACAGCAAAGGTTTCGCTGATGCAGTGACAGCAAAACTCTAAGTCCTTGAGATCGTTGATTTCCCAATGAAGGTGAGTATCGTCCGCAAACAGCGTTGCACAGGACTCAGCCCATGCTGGACTAGTGCGGGCAGCCAATCTGTCGAAAAGCCAGACAGTGAAGATGCTATAGAGGCATGGTGATAGAGCACAGCCCTGTCTGATGCCCCTCTTCATATCTATCGATCCATGATGCTTGCCGTGCCGAGTGTGATAGCGGCACCGCTCGTGGATTGACAGTATGGCAGCCTGCAAGTCCGCGCTAACGCCAACGTGGGCGAGTGAGCTCAGCAAAGCCCAACGAGGAACGCAGTCAAATGCTTTGCTAAGGTCAAGACTCAGCATGACCCCGCCAAAGCATGAGGAAGCACGCTTTCCCGCCCTTTTGGCATGCACACTGAGAGTACTGTGCTGTATTTTAGCTCGTATGTGGCGACAGTGCTCGCCAACGCGGAGTATAGCCTCGTCTATCGCCTTGCCTTTGCTGTACGCATATTGAGGACAACGCAGGAGCGCGGGACCAGCTTGCTCCATGACTTTGTGCTTGAGCACCGTGGCAAAAATCTTAACACTGGGATCCTGTAGCCCCAACGGCCTAAGATCTTTTGGGAGTCGGCTACTCTTACCAGGTTTGGGTAATAAGGAGAGCGAGCACTCAGATATTTCAGGTGGGTATTCATGAGAGTTGGCAATGCTGGCACTCAGCTCCCTGTGCAAGTAAACCGAGAAGACTTCCGGGCATAGCTGCCAAACCTCAGCCGGGAGGCTACCGTCTGGCACTGATTTGCCCTAGTTATTTCGTCTACAGTGAGGTCAGGACCTAAACCACTAGGGAGGCTAGGGACAGGGTCAGGACTATCATCGGCAGCTGCAAAGTAGTCCTGAATGGCCTGAAATTGATCTCTGGACGACAGGAGATGTCCCTCCGTCGAGCGGATGCAGGTGGGGATGCGTCGGGTCTTAGGCGCAATATGCCGAATGATACGATAAACAGTACCCATATCATGGACCTCCGCCGCTTGCTGGGCCTGTTCAATGAATCCGATCAGCCTAGCCCTAGCCCTCCGACATCTCTCTCTCAGCTCGCGACTTCTGCGAGCAAAGTCCCTAAACCGAATAAAAGCGTCAAAAATCCGCCTGAACCAGCTCCCTTGCAAGGGCTCGCGAAGGCGCCGATGCGCAGCCCACATGGCATTAATATGCGGCTTAACAACAACATGTAGGGCACTGTTTTGGGTTTGAGGGTGCTGCGGGGAGGGCTTGCCTACCTGGGGACAGAGGAGTGTGCTGGCCACTTGCAAGGCTTGCCGGTTCAGCTCCGCCAAAGGCAGGCTGCCAGTGGCTCCCTGAACCAGCTCATTTAAGCACTGACGCAGGTTACTCACCGCTGCCGCGTTGCCGCCTCGTAGGGCAGCAGTATGTGTCTGGTCAACAGTCTAGACTCAGGCGCTGGGACAACCCTACTGAAGGTCCACCCAGCACGCCAAGGCAAGCTACCCACAACTCGCCTGTGCTTAGGGCCAAAACGCCATGGTGTCAGGTCCAGGGAGATCGGAGTAGCACGTCTGGATTCCTGGTCGGCCACCGAACGTCGGGTAGCAAGAAAGTCAATCTGCGACCGATGAGTGCCAGTGGAAAAAGTATGCGACGCCGAGCCGCGCGCTACACCCCATGTGTTGAGAAGCACCAGCTGATTTAGCTGCAGGATCTGCATGAAGTCCTCCGAAATGTTTCTCGCCGAGCCGTCGAGAACTCCCCTTCCTACACACCCAGGCAAATGACGACACCCGGCATTGGCATCAGCCCCCAGAACCAGCAAGTTACGCCTAGGCAACCCCTGCAAAAGCTTTCCCAACTGTTGCCATACCTGCTGTCGTCGACTGTCGTTAACAGTCGAGTTGCGCCCATCCACTGCCCACTGATAGAGGCAGACCACATCCACAACTATTTTCGCCGTCTCACATCGAACATGTAATAAGCGCCCTGGAAGCCAGCTGCAGAACCCAACCTCAGCCTTCAGCCTGGGGGATATAAAGACTCCTACGCCACTGTATCGGTTTGCCGGATCTGCCGACACAATGGCCTGCCACTTGCCAATAAGCCATGTGTTCTCGTTTTGACCGCAGCCCCAATGGAGCTCCTGTACTAGGACGATGTCGGCCTCCCGCTGTCGCATCAACCACTCACAGAAGACGGGGTAGGCTTCGCCAGATATCCCTCCTATGTTGTAGGTCATGACCTTGACGCGCGGTCGGCAACCACCAGGTGTCCCCTGAGGAGGGCCTGTGTCTTTGCGTCCCAGGTTATTCGGTGCTGTTGTATGTCCGCCTGCGCCCAGAGAAGTAACAGTATGCCAGCGGCCTCTGTAAAATGTACCCCCTCTGCAAGCTGCTCGCTGCCTAGCACGCCGATACGCTCTTTTAGCTGTCCAGGAAAAGTTGGCAGTTCCATTGCCAGAATCAGTGTGTTTCGCTCCAGCAGGAGCTCCCACGCGCGAGGTGATAGCGCGCGCAACCCTCAGGTCTACAGCCGCATCCATCGAAATCCTGTCATCTTCTCCAAGCGACTGCCATGGGACTTGGGACCCATGCGACTGGACTGATGCGGGGCCCATAACATCAAAGTTCATCACGTAATTCAGAATCAAGCAGCACAGGAGAAAAATCGCCATTAACCCTCGCCGCCGGCCCTACACTTCCACTGAGGCTCCAGCCGAGACCCTTAGTAGTAGTAGTAGTAGTAGTAGTAGTAGTAGTAGTAGTACAAGTAGTACAAGGAGTACCAGTAATACTAGTAAGTAGCATGAGTAGTTCTAGTAGTGCTAGTAATACTAGTAGTACTAGTAGTACTAGTAGTACTAGTAGTACTAGTAGTACTAGTAGTACTGGTAGTGCTAGTAGTACTAGTAGTGTACTACTAGTAGTACTAATAGTACTAGTA